GTTCCTCTTTGATGCATTTAGGTGAGCAATTCCCTTGTGTCTAAATGATGTACCTCGCGTAAGAGGCCAACTGAGTAATCCCTTATCAAAAAAGAATTCAATGTTATAATAGAATTTCTCAAACCTATCACAGATCTAATATTTTATAATGATAATATTCTTTTTGGTATAGAGCATTAATTACGAGAATTTGCTTTTAAAATCTTGAATTTTTAATTTTAATTAAAGGATTTTACAGGGCAGGTTGGTAGAACAGTGTGATGATGTGTGGTTTTGTTGTGGAGTTGAGTGGCTGAGAGCATAGGCTGATGTGATGCTAGCATCGGTGCCAAGTCTCCTCAGATAAAGACTTAAAATGAAGGTCCCATTGTAGACATCTGGCTTGTGTGCACTTCAAAGAACCCATTACATCTTTCAGAAGAGTAGGGGGTTACCCCGATGCTATGGTTCATTTCAGCCCTTGTTTTGGAATGAGGGAACATGAAGCTACTGTACTATAAGCGCCTCTTTACAGCGGCTAGATAGTCACAAACCACGCCCATTTGCAATTCTGCACGATGATGCTACAAATTATGGGTTATTCTCCTACCTTTACCTTTCCCTTACCTGTTTACTGCTTTCTGTTTATCTGGGTTTTTTTTTTGTTGAAGTCTAGAAAACACAGGATCATTATCATAAAGTCATTTTTCATTTTTTTTTTTTTTTTTCTGGTAATTTATTTTAGTTTATTTTATAAAATCACAGAATGGAGCAGCTGTCTTAATTCCAGTTGGTTTTTACAAGAATTTAAAAAAAAATTCTAATTTATTGCTGGTTGACAAACAATTTATAATGCTTAAAGCTCAATTCACATTCTCAAATTTTATGTTACGTGGCAAATTTGTGTAAACTAGCCATATTTGGGCATGATAATGCCATTTCATACCCATATATGGCCATTTGACAGATGTTTGTGACATTGGGTTTCATAGTGTGGATAGAGTATGTTGGTGTTATTAACTGATTAACAAAAAAAATAATAATTTGAAGTTGGTGCTGCTAAAGCAAATATAAAGGACTTCTGGTTTATCACAACAAAATTTTAAAATTATTTTGACTGGTGACTTTGTAGGAGATTCAGTTCATTTGCATTAGCTAGTTGAAGCATCATTACAGCTAGCTACAATCTGCAATGAAAATCATATCAATTTTGCATGTAATGGTTTTGCATACGTACACATGCCTAAATTCATGCACAATAAAAAAAATAGACATGAGCAAGCAAATTAGAGATGATTTATGTGTAGGTGTCTGGTTTTGTTGCAGATTTTGTAAGGATTCATTAATGATATCACTCCGATTGGGTTTAAGAAGGGTCAAGATAAGTGAGCACTGGGAATAAGGTAGAATTAACTGATTAAATTGATGACGTCATAACCCACTTTTTGAACAAGGTGCTGACTAAGCAGTATTTGATCACAAAGTACCGATTACACAGAAAGGGTGTTGAACTTTTTTTAGGTTTTTTGTAGATTTTTTTCTATCCTTGGGGAATAGATTTTTATGACCTTAGTAAATGTTCTTCTAGGTTTTTAGTCATTTTAGGTAAAGAAATGACATGACTTTGCTAAATAATGAATTGAATTTCCTTTCATTTAAACAAAAATTAAATGCGGTTTGTTTAAAAAAATGTTATGATCTGGATTTGTTTAACCTGTTGATCCTATTGATTTTTTATTTATTCAGTGGCATACAGTGATACAACTTGCCACTCCTAAACCTTCGAACCGCGTACCCGGTTTCATTGTGTGAGTCATTTCGGGTGGACATTTTTAAATAAAGAAAAATTCATGGGCGAATTTCAAGGATTGGAGGGTGGGAGTTGTGATCTAACATTTCCGACAATTTAGTTAATTACACTTTTTTTTTTTATAAGAACCAGTAAAGTTTTTGCCCAGGCTCAGTGTTCTTATTTTTCGGCCGATTTCAGGCTAAAAATGTTCTTATTTTGTTCTTAGTTTACATACCTTTTAAGCAAAGAATTATTTAATTGTACGGCAGTATGCACTGTACTAGAATTGTAGAGGGTATTACAGTCACACCTACTGCACATAATGTACAGATATAATATTTTGGTTTTTAAAAATATAAACCTCATTTGAATTTTACCTCAGCCTCAATTTGTTCTTATTTTGTTCTTGATTTTTAAGCAATTTCAGCCTCATTGTTCTTATAAAATGTGTTCTTATAAAAAATAAAAAGTGTACACCTAAAAGGTCATCTTAGAAAATCTGATTTTTATGTAAATTATAAACAGAGTATAAACTCTAAATCATTTTAAAAATATAAATAAAGTAAAATAGCTAAAACAAATCTAATTTATGCAAAGTATGTAAATTAAAATTTGAATGAGAAAAAATAATCCTTTCTGTTTAGGCTGACAGTTAAATAATAAATTTCCTGTATTCTTGTACATAGAAAAATTTAAAGAATTTTGTAGTAAAATGTCTAAATCAGAGAATTTTTTTTTTTCATTTTCTGGTTGGAAGTTAATAACTTATTTGGTACTTTTAAATAAGCTATTCAACATTTTTATTGGACTTTAAATGTTTTCTGACTTTTACTTGGCAGACTGTCCACCTTGAAGAAGTTAAAGTATATTATCTGCATATTTATATAACCTAAAAATTATCCGCAGGAGTTAATCAGAATTTTCTTCAAATCAAAGTGTCATCTACAGTAGATTATCCCAAAACTTTTTTTTGGTGGAGGAAGTACTTCATACCAAATTCAATATCATACTATTGATAAATTAATTGCAAATACCTTTGAGATAAACATGTCCTTAATTTGTTTTTAATCCAAGTGAGTGTACCAATTGTCCTTGAGTCTCTGATGATAGAGTAACTGAAGGGTATTGGGAAGGTTTTGTGTTCAAATCCTGATTGAGACAAAATACTAATTGCCTATTAGGAAGATATAAAACAATTTTATATTTTCCTAATAGTCAAGCAGCTACTAACTATTCACTACATTAAAATTTGTTTGCAAAAGTTGAATAACTGATTTTGTAACTAATAAAAATGCTTTATCTGTGTTGGCACACTTTAATAATGAAATTTATATTTAAATTTCAGGTTAAAAATACATGTTGATATTCAAAATAATTATTTCTATAGTATATCAAATTGATGACTGATGTTGAAGTTTTAAAATGACTATTAAAAAGATAGAGTGGATTAACAACACTATTAGAAGTGGTATTAAAAGTGTTGTATCAAACTATGTTCCATCTTTTATCTCATTTACCTTGAAAGTCAAGAGTATTAATTACTGTGTGTGTCTACATTCATTTATAAGTTACATTTTATAAAAATTGAACTTTTGTTAATAACCTTTCTTAGTTTATCAAATAACTTCATTTAGCTTCTACTGATGAGAAATAACCCTTAATGAAATTTGTTATTATTTTCTTAGTTTAGTTGCATTTTCATACAAAAAACAGATGATTATTGAAATTGCTTTCCAAGGTATGGAAAGAGCAGATGAATGAAACTCTAGAGGGCAGTATTGCTAATTCTTTTAGATTCCTTGGATAGCGAATGCTATTACTGTACAGTATTACAGTGTCATTGAATGTTCTACTTTCCTTGGCATGGGAACTAGTGCAACCGAACAGTTCAATACATACATAAGCCCTATGTAACAATAGAATGTAATTCTGTTAAATGGCATGACAAACATCAAAATGTTAACTCTTTGCTTGAGTACAAAGGGATCTAAAGATTTGGCAGCAGACCGAGAAAATTCTTGTTTTACTTATCCATGTGCAAATGTTCAGATAATGTGGTTTATTGTCAACATTTTGTTCTCAGGACTCAGTTGATCTAGCTTGTTATAGTCTGCAATAAGAGGCCTTGGCTTTAAAGATAATGTTGTTTGTGATTGTGTCTCGTTAAAACATTAAAACATTAGATTGACCGTCTATTAAGTTATCGACTTCCAATGTGGCACAGATCAAAACAATTCACTTTTCACTGATTTACAGATGTTTTACTTCAAAATTAATATCCAGCCAATTAATGGCCAGGCTCCAGAGGAGAAAAATGTTTTGTGATATTTTGTTAAGCAGATACAGATTTTTGAGTATTTAAAAACTTGTGGGGGTGGGGGGAGGAAGGGATTAACTTCCCATTTATCCACTGATTTTTTTTACACCATATATGGCCACATCATACACATTTGTCATATAAAAATATGTGATAGTGTGGACATAGTATTGGATACAAAATATGTTGTACAGCACATCGAAACAACTTTTCCTCTAGATCCATCCATGGCTATAAGGTTCTGTGCAAGTAATAAAGGAATAGTATTTATGCATCTTTTAAGTCGAGGTTGAAAACATGTTCTTGTATTTCTTTAAAATTTATTAATACTGTAATTTTAAATTACTTTAAAAATAAGTATTTTAAAATACTGTATTATATCCATGACATAATATAACAAAATTTACAATATATATTGATGTTGATATGATTCTAGAGGTTTTGGTAGCCTTCAGAATATCAGTGTTAACATTTTAAAACAGTAGGTCAAATACAACTATAAATGTAGGGCCTACTGTACCTTCATTGTAGTATGCATGTTTTGTTTTTTGAAGGCTTATAAATCAGGCCTATTTGTATTATACTGTATTTGTATAGTATTTAAATGGTTGAAAATCATATTTTATTTTATACTTCATAAACCAGCAAAGAAAGATACACATACATATACATATTTAACTATTTAAATATATGACGATAGCCCAATTTTTCCAAAAAGTATGTTGAAATTTACTTTGGCTGTTAATTCTCAATTTGAAACATGGTCCAATACAACCCACTTTCTGATAAATTGTCCTGAATCTGGTACTTCATTTATTGCTAACGGAAAATGAAGATGTTTTTCTCCCTTTTATTGAAAGATATGACATCTTTTCTATTAAATAAAGGTTTTTTTCTTTGCATTTTTTCCAGAGCTATGTCGTGTGTGACCTGGATCAGAAAGTAGATCTGCTGTACTCATTCATCCGCAGCCATACTCAATCGAAGATTCTCGTTTTCATGGCCAGCTGTAAACAGGTACAAATTTTTTGTAACATTCTATTTGCTTTTTAGTTCTTTTAGTATGTTTTAAATTCAAGGACCAGCTCTCTCTGACCACCATGAAAAGACCTTTGTCTCTCTAATTAGTATAAGATAAACAGTTAGAGAAAACATACCAACATTCCATATTTTTTTGTTTACTTGTTTAATTTTGTATTCATAATTTTTCTGCTTTTTAGTTCCTATGCAATTAATGCAATAGGAACTATTGTAATCACTTTTCACTGTTTTCCCTGTGTGTAGTGTGTAGACATTTATGCAAATGCGCATGCGTAAACAAATTTTTCCGACATTTGTTTTTCCTCGCGATGCGAAGTTTGATGTGAAGTTTCTGCAGTGTTCAGTCAGGCTAACACTAACGATCAGCAAGTCGGCATGGATGAAACTATTTTGGTTTTGCGGCAAAAAAAATCAACTGCTGTAGGCATAGGCATTTTGAAGAAGGCCTAAAATAAAAAAAAAAATAGGTTTTAATACTTGCTGATATACATCGTTTTTCATTTAGATCTCCATTATTTGCTACCTCCATGCGACATTTTTTTCTGTTGTATGAGTAGTCATATGAAGGTACTATATCCCTGACAGTTGGCTATGCAGCAGTGTACCCTTTGAATGCAAATTGAAGAAAAGTGAAGATATAAAGGCAGCCGACTTTCGGTACATAACGACTATCTAGCTTAGGCTTTCCACAAACACATGAGGCCTAGGCCTAGTTTAGTACAGTAGTTACTGCGATGCTAGGGTGGGTAGATCGTTTAATCGTGTTATCGTCTAATACCTGAAATACATTTAAATAATGTGTGTAAAATTTAAGAATGCACCCACCGCATGGGTCGCTTTATTTGTTATGCTGTAGTATACGTAGCAGAGTGACGCAGCAAGGCTAGCCTAGGGCCTAGATTGTGTATGTTCTTGATCATCGTGATGAAAACTCCAGTTGACAGACGATTAGGCCCAACTGTTGTGGACGATCGGGCCCAAGCTATTTTCAAATAAATTGTAGTCTAGTAGGCCACTACCAGCTCCCCCACTCCCAATATCGTTCCAAACTACTGTAAAATGAAAATACTGTATACCTAAAGAAATTTGCTAAAAATATTACTGTAATTTGCTTATCAAATTACATTACCAGTGTGGTCTAATATCACTTTTGGGCCATAAAGACTCCCCCTGAATTTTTCAACCACCACATAAATTTGACTCAACCATATTTTCTGATTATGTCATTTATGATGACTTAATCAGAAAATATGGTTGGTTAAGTCATGTATCATGCATAGGAAAGTTGACGCCTGCAAGGCTCTGGTTGATTTGTTTTTCTTATTTTTTTATTTAATTTTTTAAAATTATTTTTTTATTAAAACATACTCTAACAGGTCCTAATTGCTCACTTGTTCACTATAAAATCCAGAAAAATTCAAAAATTAAACTTATGGGAGATATTTAAATATTTTTTTCTGCTTGATTTTTCTTATCTTTTATTTTATTTATTTTTTTTAAAGAAATTGATGTGTTTACTGATTGAAACACAGTAACAGGTCCTAATTGCTCACTTGTTCACTATAAAATCTAGAAAAATTAAAAAATTAAGCTTATGGGAGATTTAAAGTCAAATTAATGCTTACAAAAAAGTACTGTGACAGATGTATAATTTACATACCAACCATATTAAACACTCACATAAAACATTAAAAGATCAACATTCACTTAAACTAAACAATTTTTGTATAATAATAATAATAATAATAATAATAATAATAATAATAATAATAATAAAATCTATTAATTTTTCAACTTATTTCTATTTGACAAATTTTAGTTGAATATGTTCCAGATGTGAATTTAGAAGTTGCCAACTTGTGCTCAATTTTGGCACCAATTGGTGTGTTTAGAGTTCAACATAAATTCACCCATGCAGTACACCAAGCAGCCACTTAGACCAGCAAAGTGAGGTTAAAGTTAGTTGCTGGCAGCTCGTTTGGATACATTTCAAAAGCTATACACAGGACATGAAATGTGTGTTGCATACAACAATCATTATTGTGTTTGGATATTTCGAGAAACAACGTTAGGTTTTGTATTTTGTAGGAAATTCAATATGGTGAAATACAATACCAATAGTACATTACTAACAGAACAAAACTAATAATACAAAATTGTATTTGTAAAATGAAGTGTACACAATTTAATTAACCTTTCATTAATTACCAACAATTCTTCTTCAATCTAGTTACGACCTTGTTGCACTAACCACTTTCTCAAGTGATAACAAAATACCTTGTAAAAGGTCATATCTCAATAGATACGACCTTGCTGCAATAACTTAACTCGTGCGTCAATGGTAACTAGGTGCGCGTTTCTTTGTTCTTGCACCGCGACCTGTGTGGACAACATTGTATGAGTCAGCTACAACCTTGTTGTGTTATCAAAATATCCAACTTATGACCTTTTAAAATGATAATATTAATAATTTTAATTACATTCAAGTGCAGAATGTACTTGATTAGATTTTACATAAAATAACACCAAAACCCGTATTTCAGCAAAATTTGAGCTATGATATTGGTCATGTGACATGACAACATGTGTACCTATGATGAATATTTAAATTATTTTTTAAAGGAATAAATATAATGGGAAAATGTAAATTCTTGAGAGCAGAAGCTCATTTTAGAACTTGAGATAACAAGATTTATTATTATTTATTATTATTATTATTATTATTATTATCATTATTATTATTATTGTTATTATTATTGTTATTATTATTATTTTATTATTATTATTGTCATCATGATCATCATCAACATGTTTTGTAAACAATACACTATGATGAATATTTAAATTATTTTTTAAAGGAATAAATATAATGTGAAAATGCAAATTCTTAAGAGCAGAAGCTCATTTTAGAACTTGAGATAACAGATTTATTATTATTATTATTATTATTATTATTATTATTATTATTATTATTATTATTATTATTATCTTTATTATTATTACTATTATTGTTATTATTATTGTTGTTATTATTATTATTTTATTATTATCATTATTGTCATCATGATCATCATCAACATGTTTTGTAAACAATACACTGTTCATAAAATAGAGAAAAACTCTGTAAAATATTGAATAGCTCATTTAAGTAAATCAGTACTATATTTAGATTCCATTTACAGTATATTAATAATTAATTATAAGTTTTCTTCCCCTGAAGACAGTAAGAGTACATACTGTATACTAACCGAAATGTTGGGACATTGTATTCCAAACGGTTGTTCTCAGAACCAAATACTGTGCCATCCATTGAGATCTGTAGCATATGCTACTTGGTGTACCGAAAACTTATAATTAATTATTAATGTCAATTCCCTATGCAAAACTTCAAGACTTATTCCAGTTATACAAAGATACAAGTAATTTTCAGATTTATTGATTTTTACTAAGAAAATATTTATATTGATTACCAACCAAATTAATATCAACAATAATAATAATCAAATTTTAATATTCTGATTGACTTATGACCATGTGGTCAAGAATACAAATTGAAGTGAATGCGATCTCTATAATTATTACTGACCTTGGCGATTGCGAGTCAGACTTAAAGTTGAACACATTTTCAGCCAGTTGTCTGTATTATATATTATATTGACAAAAAAATGTTATGTTGTAGTTGCCCTTGATGGACAAAATTGTGAAGTTAATGTCATAGCAACATACAAATTTTTAATTTTCGTTTTTCGTGTGGATCGTCCGTAATACGCAAATTTTCTACTGCAGTAAAGCTATTAAAATGTTGGTAGTCCTATGTATGAACATAATTTTAAATACAATTTTAAAATTTTTAGTAATTTAAAGTCTCATAAAATTGTATTATTTTGGGAGATTATCCCTGCATTTGTCTCAGTTTTTAGCCAGCTAGATGGCGTATCAAGATGATAATAATAATAATAATAATAATAATAATAATAATAATAATAATAATGTTATATTTATATAGCGCATATTGCACATTGCCCCTATGCGCTTTACAGAGAAATAATATAGGCCATCTGAGAAAAAGCAAATAACAATAAAATAATAACAATAAAATAAAATAAAAGTAATCATAATAACAATAATAACAATGAGACTAAACACCTCATATTCCTTAAACTAATTAATGGTTGGCCGTTGACTCCCAGGAGCTCATCCGCCCTTTGTTCAGCTATTGGTTTTTCTTGCTGCTGGGTGTCCATAAACACCCTCTCCTCAGCAGCCACTAAGACATATTTGAGAGGGTTGTCAGTTTGGTTGCCTACACTTCGACCGGATGGAGTTTAATGTCGTACCCAGGACGTCCCTAACTACCTTAAGCTAGACTTAACTACTCTTAAATACAGTATATTACTCTTAACTACAATTAGTTAAACTATCCCCCGCCGGACACCATCCCGGTATTTAGCAGTTTTGGGGCTATTTTATCAACCATAACATAAGTCAGATAAATAAATGGCTTTTGAGAAGAGATTTAAATGTAATGATGGAAGTTGCATGTTTGATGTCTAATGATCATAAAAAGCAGCAAAAATTATGAATTCTGATGGTGAAATGTGGGGTTGTCTTATACGCCCCAACATTCAGAAGTCATCCAAAAATCTCGGGGGGTTATCTTATTTAGTATGTGGGTCGCCTTTATACGTGAGTATACAGTATTTGAACACTACATGGCTTTGAGAATCTCTGAATACTATACAAATAAAACTAAATTAAATACACATTGACTATTGTCGTTATATGTTAGTTCAAGTGCAAGCTCTAATCCACTTGACTTTTCCATGAACTGTCAACAAGAGTAAGCTAGCATTATTATAATATTCATAATGTTACATATGTACTACTATCCATTAATGAAAATAATATCAAAATAAGTTTTAGGGCTTAATTAATTGTTCTTTGTTTTGTATTAATTATACACTCTTTCTTGCAATGTGATGTACCAACTGATTTTCTGAAGTACAGAAATCTTGAATCTTCTGTCAACAACAATGTCAAAATTTTAATTATATTTTAACTAAAAAAAAATATATATTTTGTCTCGATAATTGATATTATATAAGCCTAAATGTTGGAAATATAAAGATTTTATGCATATATCAATTTAATTTTTATTTCATCTTCAAGTTATTAAATCACTTAATTTAATTTCCTGATAGTTTTATACTAAAATATTTGTAGAATATGTAGATCAGCTATAAATATCTCTTGGTATTTTTTTCTTTTTTTAAAATATTATTAGTCACCGCAAGATGTTTCAGCCATTAAGATGTTTAACCTTTATTTAAAAGTTCTGTTGTATTATTATATATTTATCAATTTGTTGACAATGTTGAAATCCCCAACGTCCTGAATCCCTGACCCAGTCGACTTATTATTGTACCAAACTCATCCACTCTTCAAAGATTATCATTTTAAATTCTGTCAAAACCAAAACTTACTGCAGTACTTTTTATTGATCGAAGCACGCCCCGCGCAGCATCCTGTCATGATGATCGTGGACTGCGCAAAATCATCGGCAACATGAAAGCTTTTGTTCAATGACGCTGCGTGAACTCTGGCCGAGGATGGATAGACGTGAGACATTTGTAAGGCCACTCAAGCACGCTGGTCAAGGTAAACCACGTGTCGCGTGAAATCTGAAGAACATGTGTGCATGATCTTAGTGTATTTCCTTCGTCTTCATACTTAAATTGATCAAATACCTACTGATCCATATCAAAGTCATAAAAAAAATTAGAATATTTTTTTCCCTCATTGTGCTGCTTTCCCATGATAGATGAGCAGCTATAGAATAAACTTGAAAAGTAGTCTTTAAATTGCCGTAAAATCTTTGTAAAGTCCTGAGTTCTTGTCTTGCATATTGCAAAGACTATTACTGCAAATGATTGAAATTTTATGTGTTGGCTATAAAAGAATAATGTTAGTTGCTATAATTATATATTTTATGCCGTATCTATTTTATCATTTATTTATTTATTTGTATGTTTGTTTATATACTTGCTTATTCATTCTGATATAAAGTTATACAAAATGAAGGCTATATGGCTGATAACATTATTTGCTGTACATTTAGTTGCACTGTCATACTAAGATAAACTTTCTAATATATTTATTTGTTTACTTATTATTTTTTATAATTTTTTATTTAAAATACAAAATGCAGCTGATGGCTGAAGTTATTATATTATCATTCTGTGACATATGTATTTTTTCTTTTCATTTTAATACCTGTTTATTTTTTATTCTGATATAGATTTATACAAATTGTAGCCAGTGTGACAAATAAAATATTTGTTGTACTTGTAGTTAAGTTGTTGTAACATAATTTTTTTCCCTGAATAAATAAGCAGCAAATGATATTTAGTCAAATGTGTATGAAGGAGTATTTGTTAGAGTTTATTATAGTAAAAGATGTCACTTCTTTTTGTGCATTTTTCTTTGCTTGTCTCTGCAATAAATGTACCAAGAAATTAAGTAATCTAATGCATATATACTGCCCTCTTTCACCATTAAAAAAATGAAGCTGTGCACAACAGGTAAATTTTTTAGCTGTTGAATCAACAGAAAAGAGAACATTTTTATGTGATTATAAGCGTGACGTAAACAGATGCTTCCTTAATGATTGTATATTTTGTATGATTTCTTAGGAGTCATTCACAATTATCAACATTTTCACAAATGTACAAGTTTGTACACTTTTACATATGCATGATAGTGTTGATTCAAAATAATAAATATTTTAAATAATAGATTTTTATGACCTGTTATAATCCAACCGTGGATATAATATACATTTTATGTTGCCAAGTACAGTGCTTTAGTTGACTTCATTAACATAAAAAAACGGAGAATGGTTTTGCAATCAATATTTTTTAAGTACACTTTTATAGTGGAGGGATATCGAAAAGGCATACTGGTTGTACACTTGCGAAAATGTTGATAATTTTGAACGACTTTTAAAATGGTTCCATCATGTTATATTCTATTGATACTTTCTTGTTTGAATTTTATTGTCTTATTGAAAATAACTTTTCCGACTTTGATATTTTATAGTTGTTTATTTGAACATAATTTAATTGGTACCCATTTAAAAGCTCTTGCTTCCTGTAGCCAGTGCCGTAACCAGCTATTGGGACAGTAGGGACAGTCCCAAAGAATTTTTCTAATGTGTCTACAAAGAATGGGTCCACATTTTAAAAAATGAGTCCAATTATGCACATTCATTCTTGAAAAAACGGATTCGTATTTCTCATATTTAGCCTAAAATGTGTAAAATCTTAAGAAAATGGGTCCAGATTTTACATATTTTTGCCTAAAATTGATCAACTTTTAAGAAAATGGGTCAAAATTTTTTGAAGTTACTCATAAAGTGGGTGCATCCTGGTATTGTCCCGCACTGTTTGAAAATTCCCTGGCTACGGAATTGCCTGTAGTATTGTATTTTTCATTCAATGTATAGTCATGATTACTTTTACTTGATATCGTTTTGTATTTGTTCCTTTGTTATAAAATTGTGGAAATAAAAAATTTTGATAGATTGATCAAATTTTGTCCGAATGAATAAGGTAAAACATTTAACAAGATTAAGAAACTAATTGTTGTACATCGTTACTTTCCAAAATTAAAATTGATTTGTTTGATCCATATTCACACTTTATATTTATATTTAGGTAAAATACATATTTGATATTTTCTGTATGCTCCAACCTGGAATAACTGTAATGGCTCTGTACGGAACACTTCACCAAATGCGGAGAATGGCTGTGTACAATGAATTTTGTAAGCGGGAACATGCAGTGCTGTTTGCCACGGACATCGCTGCAAGAGGTCTTGGTAGGTGAATCAACTGTCTGAATCTCACATAGGAAGGTTTTTTTTTAAGTTTTAATCTTTTTGGAAAGCAGCCATATTTGGCCGTTCATTATATTAGAACAATTAATTTAGTGGAGGTTGAACTCATGGTCAGACTGATAATCAGAATCATGGTCAATTTTCTCAGTCAAAATCATGCTGGAACACAGGGTCAATTCGAAGTTCAATAATATGTTGATATATTCTCAGAAGGTATCATCTTTGAAATGTTAAGAAATATAATTTTGAGTGCCCGGAAGTGATGCTGAATTTAGACATCTATAAAAAAAGAAATAGATGTTGATGAAATCATGAAATTTTTTATTATATAAATGTATCAGAATATTGATTAAATTATAGAGGGTAAAAGGAGTGTCTACATTTATATATAAAATTCAAATTTAATATGTCAAATTAAATTATTATGTCAAGTAGTAAATGCTCTACTATCAAATTTTTGTTCAAACTGATTTTATTTAAATTTTTAGTGTACATAGGAATGATGTGAACAGGTGAAATAGCTGATTTAACAACATTATAAGAAAGTATACTACTGTATATATAATGTAATGTAATGTAGTTTGATTTATATAGCGCTTTATACCTGAGTCTCAAAGCCCTGTGGACTAGCTCGTACAGTAACTTTCTTCTCCTAAAGGGTCTCTTCATGTCTGAGCAACCCAGTAAACTGGTACCAGCTACTCTCGTAGGGGCTGTATGGACCAGTACACCGGGGTAACCGTTACTCGTCTCGAAAGATGTACTGGGTTATTTTAAGTGCACACAAGCCACATTGTGTGTACTGGGCCTATGGTTTATATTCTTTATCCGCGAAGACTTGTTCCACCACCAGAACCATATACGAAGAAGATGAATAACTTGACTGTGGTTGATGAACTTTATTAGGGGTTATTAGGTAGGCCTTACCTCCTGCTAGACATTTGTGGTACATCCACAGATCCTAGGATCTGTGATATATCATACAGCAACTCTGTTCCGATTTGATAATCATTTAAGCATTATGTGCATGCAATTCTAGCAACCATAGTGTATCACATTTACTTTTTTTTCATACACAGATTTCCCAGCAGTCAGTTGGGTGATGCAGCTGGACTGTCCGGAGGATGCGGACACATACATTCATCGGGCAGGGAGGACAGCGAGATATGAGAAGAATGGTGAATCACTTCTGGTGCTGACGCCTTCTGAGGAGAAGGAAATGTTAAGACAACTAGTTGAGAAAAAGATCCCCGTCCAAAAAATAAAGTAATTTTATCTTCCTCCTCAGTGTCTGTGATTGAGAATCCCCAACAACCTGCCTGATAGGGGGTCCACACCCACGTCAGCCCCATCATTTTTTATGCAGATTTTATGCATGCATATCTGGATGCTTAAAAATTTTAAATACTTCTTAATACAATAGTGGTGCGGGTCCTGTGCTCTGCTGCCCATGTTGCTCCTAAATTTTATGTCGTCATACATAAAAATACGTACAAAAATCTGATTGCTTTAGAACTCCTACTTTATAAATTACTCTCTGCATTAAGCACAAGTAGTGACATTATGTTTAGTAATTTTGTGCCAGGATTTGAACTTAGAACCTTTGATTTGGAAGGGAAGGAACTTAACTTTCATACCACAGGTTACTATCAAGGTCGAGATCATCATTATTTATTCTTACAAGAGAAAGCTACAATGTAATGCTCATTTTAATGCTTAGAAGATAAAATAAATACTATACACTAACATAAAACAACAAGCTAAATCATGGACCCTAAGTATCTTGTGCAATTGTTTTGCCACTGTCTCTGTAAATGCAACATTTTTATCTTTTTCTTTTAAATGCAAGAATGTTCTGCTGTCACTGGAGAGTTTCTCTGGTTTCAGTTGATGCTTATGCAATAACTAAAAAAAAAATTCATTATATTTACATTCATTAATATTGATCTTCAATTAAATTCAACTCTTTCAAAATTATAGTCTGTCTGGAGATTTATAATAGTTTATTTTTTCAAAATATTTGTTACAAATTTAGAACAAATCCTAAGAAACAGTTATCAATACGGAGTCAGCTGCAGTCGTTCTGTGCTGAGGATTACTCGTTGAAGCAAGAGGCCCAGCGTTGCTTTATCTCTTACGTCAAATCAGTCTACCTGATGAAAAACAAGCAGGTTTTCAATGTTAAGGCACTTCCACTGGAAGATTTCTCATTGTAAGTATGTGATGACTTTGATGGATAGATGTTGATGGTAGTGAGAATGATGATGACAATGGTTGTGATAGTAATAATAATGATGATGATGATGATGATGATGATGATGGTGATGATTGTTATTGTTATTATTATTATTATTGTTGTGTTTTTCATTTTTTGCTATTCTTTTTCAAATTTACTGACTATTTTTTGTACTCTTTTTTGCTTGATATATCAGATTCAAATTCAGATAACATTTATTTCGATAATAATGCCAAACAGATACAATTATAACAGTACAAAAAAAAATGACAAAAAATGGAGAAAAAACATTATTCTCATTGGGTCCTAGCTAGAAGTAGGTGCTTGTCTCTCTAGGACCCACTAAAGAGGTAGAAAGAAAATAAATTTAAAAAGGACAAAATAAACTAAATATGTATATAATAATAATAATATATGCATTCATTTTTCTACTTATATTTTATCAATTGAACTTATTCAGATTTCGTAGAAAAGTAATTAATAAATAAAGTAAGTACAAATATATATATCGATTCTTATTATATAATATGTATATCTTCTTTTTTTTTTTTTCTTCCTATTTTTTTTTCTTTGTTTTTCCTTTCTATTCTTTTTTATATGCAACATAAGACCTATGTATTTTAACTTTAATTTTGCTCAGAATATTCTTAATACAAAAAAAGAAAGATTTAAACATATATTCATAAATATAGTTAATTTTATACTTATAACATTTTACAGCATTGAAATAAACATTTCCTCAAGAAAGCCTAAAATAACTAGTACCTGTACAAAGTAATAGATAAACATTAACATTGGAAATAAGAATAATAGCAGGCTAAAATGTTATAGTAATAATATATAATACACTACGGTTCATATCAAAGTAAATAAATTGGCCAATTATCAATAGACTGAGTTGGAGCAGAGAATATATTTAAGATATATTATAGGATTAATAATTAGATAAGTAATATTACTTTACAAATTAAGAAAAGTAAATAATGAGGGTGCTGTTTTTAGAGATTCAGGAACATTATTCCATAACTTGGGGCCTGCTACAGTAATAAACAATTGGTTTTTGGTAAGTCTAGTAAAAGGAATATTTAAACTGGAATTTCTTAAATTATAATTATGTATTTTATTTGAGCTACAATTGTAAAGTATACTATTAATGGAATAAGGAAGTTGGTTTTTAAAGTATTTGAACATGAAGGTTAGGACTTGAACATTGTGAATATTTGTCAATTTTAGTATTTTAAGTTTTTTAAAGAGTGGTTCTGAAGGAGTCATGTATGTTGAAAAAGTAATCATTCTAGCTGCTCTTTTTTGTAAGATTGTTAAACTTTCAATATTGGATGGATAATCTGCAGCCCAGGCAATGTTACCATATTGCAAATAAGGGAGAATAATTGTATTATAAAGAGAAATTAAAATATTTAGAGGAAAAAGATGTTTCATTTTGTTAATAATTCCAATAGATTCAGATATCTCTTTTGATATAAAACTTTGATGACTATACCATTTTAAGTTTTCTTGAATAAATATACCTAAAAAAGTGTTTCATGTTTATGTTCAATTAAAGCACCAGTAAAGTAAATGTTAAATTTATCAATTTTAAATTTTCGTTGAGATGTGTGGAATATTAAATAATATAAAAATGTTTTGAGTGTGTTGACAAGTTATTTATTTGAAATGAACCAGTTACTAAAATTTAATAATTCGTCGTTAAAAACAGTAAATAAAAGATCGACATTGGAGTCGGCGAAGGATATCACTTGCAATTTATCACTAACATTGATTAGATCATTAATTAGATCGTTAACGTAAATTAAATATTATCATCATCATCAGCCTGTTAGGCTACTGCTGGCCGATGGCCTCCTCAAACTCAATTCTGATCTGTTCTTTGCCAGGTTTGCCCAGTTCGCACCAAGCTCATTCTGGAAAAAATCACTCCATCTCTTGTTAGGTCTTCCTCCTTTTCTTTTGTGTCCGTATGGCGTCCATACTGTTAAATTTTTGGCCCACCTGTTATGGTCCATGCGAGCCACATCATATATATTTTGTTTGATATATATTTTAATGATATATATTTGTTTTGTAATTAATGGATGGGAGTGATTCTCTGGCATAATGTTATGGTAATTAAATTTACTTAGAGACCAGGCCCTTTCATCCAGCTATCTTGATTGCCAATAAAGAATAAGAATAAGAGTGGCAGTGATGGTGATAATTGTGTTGATTGATAATGGTAATTATTATAAAGTGGTAATGGTTTCTACAGTGAAGGGTGATGATGAGGATGTAGAAGAGGATGATGATACCTTAAATATTATGGTGGTTTTTTCGATGAAAATGGTGACAATGATAATGATGGTAGCGATTATGGTGAAGTTGGTTATCGTGGTGAGGATAAAGAACAGGAAGAAGATGATGTTGGTGAGGATGAAGAAGAGAAAGGTGATAGTGGTGGTGATGAACTGGAGCATAATGATATTGATTGTGATGTTGATGATGGTTAATGATGAAGGTGGCAGTATAATGATGGTGAAGATGATGATGAGGATTTAAAATGATGATGGTGCTGATGGTTTTGGTGGTGATGAAAGTGATGATGATTGCAATGTTGATGATGGTCAATGATGAATCTGGAGGTACGGATGATGTTCATGGTGGCCCTTTGGGCTTACTAGGGTTCTCCAGACACAATTACATTTTGTCTAAATACCATTTTTTTTGTCTTGTTTCCACTTCTATGCATTGTGTGAATGAATCTTATGTTGATGGTGGTAATGATAATGAACAGTAAATCAGGATGATGACGATGAAGTTGATTGTGATGCTGATGAGGATGGTTAAGAATGATGAAGGTGGATGTAGGGATAATGGTGATGATTCGAAATGATGTTGGTGCTGTGCTGTTGGAAATGAAGATTTTGGGTGATGGTGATTGTGATGGTGATGAATGCAGTTGTGATCGTGACTGTGCTGGTGATTGTGGTAATGAGGATGATCAAGATATTGATGTTAATCAATGATCTGCTGATTTCCATAATCATAACTATAATGTTCGATTGTGATATGGAATTATTTTGAATTTTCTCTTTCTAATGTGCCATGCTCTTACATTATTCAATTCCAGTTCTTTAGGCTTAGCTGTACAACCAAGAGTACGCTTCCTGAAGAGAGCTGAAAAGAGGCAAAAAGAGCAACAGATGATGAGAAACATAGACAGCACTCAACCACCAATGTCATCTGACCCAAATGTCCTGAGGATTCGCAAACTTCTCCTTGATGGAGGTGATAGTTCAGATGTTCGATGTCCCGAAAATTCAGTGGAGAAGGATGATGATGATGGTGTGTTACACGAATCGGATGATGAGTATGGTGACACTATTCACAGATTCAATACAAAGGTTGCCAGGGAGAAGGGAGATAATGAACCAGCATCTGATGTTGAAGATGAGGCTGATTTATCAAGTGGACAAAATGAGGGAGAAATTGAAGAGGAAGATGTTGAGACCAGTTTCACTAAGAATACAAATAGCACAAGGACAAATGAAAATGAACGTATAAGTTTTGAAGCGAAAACACTTCAGTCGACTCGGAGTGATGACGATGATGACAATGAAGATTTGTTTACTGTGAAGCAAAAAGATGTATTTGGGGCTGGAACTACTGATAAGGTTTAAGTTAACTTTTTTCCATTATTTCTTTCAAATTTAATAGCAGACACACTTAATGTATCAACCCAGGTAACAATTCCATGCTATAATAACTTTGCAGTTAAGTTATCAGAACGTTTTTTTTTTTTGTACAACCATTATACGTTTATATCCTAATTTCTGACAACATAACATTTAAAACTTTGCTACAATCACCTAACCACAACATTCACAACGTTTGGAGTACAAGTAGCTGGTATGTTAAAACACAAACTGTGCTGATTACAACTGCAACGTTATGGAATTCTTCCCCAGAGAGCTGAGAATGTGTTCCATATGAGCTTGATACAATGACTAGGGTAATAAATGTGAAGCGCTTTTTAGAGGTTTGTTGTCATCAACTGCTATGTCTAACATATTGAGACAAAATGTATCTTTTTATACTGAATGGCTGAATTTGATTATACGAATTTGTTAATGGTGTTATTTAGTTTATTTAGCATTACACAGATTATTCAAAATGGCAAGTCATTTGCTAAAAGATGAGATTGAAATAAAATATTACACAAAATATACTACTTTAATGACATTATATTTCACTATCATGAAAGAACCTTGCATTATATTAGTTACGACACATGACTATTAACAGTGTGCAAACGATTTGGATTTCCTTGTCAATCCAATCACATTATTTTGCTGTCCTCCTTCTTTAAACGATTAATGTAGTACTTAGGCTGTCGTTGGAAATATATTCTTCATTTTGTTTGGCAGATCGCCTGTCAGTGTTGTATCGCTGTTTAAGTCCTGATCAATGACGAACATGAATATTTAGCCTTTAATTTTCCGACAGCTGTCCATCCAAGTCTAGGAAATGTTTCCATTTAATACTTGAGGCTGGTGGCGTACTTAGTTGTGGTACGGGATCTCAACCTTGAGTTCGGGATTCCACACTGTCCATTTTGGCTATCCTTGGGCAATGTACTTTTCTGTAAAGCCCTTAATTTTCTACGACCTTAAATTCTATCAGGGATTTCTACTATCCTTAATGTTTACAAATAGTGAGGACTAATCATCCTTTAATATGATGTCTGATGTATGATAATTAGATTTTGAGGTTTGAAAACTAATATTAATATTTTAGAGCTCACAATTGCACAATTGTAAACAATATGAGGTATTCGTTTTTGTTTGATCTGCTCCTGATTGTATATTAAGCATGTCCTTCAATACAAATTGAAAGCTTTATAATTTATGTGTAGTTTTTATTCAAATATAATATACAAACATACCTGCTTAGTGTGTATTCCAATAATGTTTTCCTATAGAAGGATAGTATTACTTTGGATATTGTATGCAGAACAACACAAAACTATATAACATATTCTTTAACAATTAAAGATAACTTATCAAATTTATAGAAATTAAGTGATATTGTATTTATCACGTAATCATATATTAACAAAAAAGGTTAATTGGTCAGCCCCTGTTTTTGAATGATGTGAACGTGAAGCCACTATAAGCCCCTCGTTTTGGCTGCAAGACGCTGGTTAGTTTTACCATTATTAGTTCTGGACAGCCCAGAAAACTTACCTCTCAGGAAAACTTACCGAGACAAGCAGTTAGTTTAACCGAGTAGATTGTGCCCAGTAAAACTAACCAGGTTGGTTTTACCAAGCTGTAAAGTCCAATGCAAACACACATCTCGGTTAAACTTGAATTACTCAATAGATGATGTTACAGAAAGCCCCCTTCAGGAGCAGATTAGTCCCCACAATAGTTGATTTTCACGGCTTGGTTAGTTTTACCACTTCCTGCAGTAAAACTAACCATATAAAAAAAATCCAGCTGCAGACAGCGGTAAGATTTACCCATTGCAATGTTACCCATGGTCACAGTAAAATCGTGGCTTTTCAAATCCAGTGTGATTGCATTTTAAGGCAATACACTGCTAGGTAATTCTCTGCTCTTTTCAAATACTGTACTGTGAAATATACCACGTTTTACAGTGGACTGACAACTTAAACCAGTTTATTTTTTTTAAGCTGATGCAGTATGACCTACATTTCACAGTGACTCTTTGACTCTGTTTGGGCATCATGGTACACTTTATTTTTCTTTTTTTTATAGGATGAGGTGAACTTTCAGAAATATGAGCAATCAAAGAAGAAAAGTAAACATCTAACAAAAGCAGCGATGGTGAAAAAGATTCGTAAGAAGAAAATTGTCGTGAACACCAAAGTTATTTTTGATGATGAAGGAGAGGTGAGAAGAAGTTTAATCTGAAGCTCTATCCCAACTATAAAAATTTATGTGACAAATAAATTAACGTGATATGCCATATTTGGATGTAATATACCCATATTTGGATGTAATATACCCATATTTGGATGTAATATACCCATGTCTATTTCGTGAATAGACATGGGTATAGACTCGAAGTCAACGAGGATATTGTTCATTCACGCAGGGCGTATATAGGCGAGCTAGGGCGAGTCCATTATTTTTCTTTTATGCTCAAGAGTTAAGTTTCAATGGAAACTTAGGCATTTATCAGTTTATCCAGGTAAGTATCTCACTCATAGACTAACCTCATCACTACTGATTTGTGTAATCTGGATGTAATATACCCATATTTGGGTGTAATATACCCAAATTTGGATGTAATATACCCATATTTGGATGTAATATACAGATAACATCATCATGCCCATGTAATATATGATTCAGATTCAGTAACATTTATTATAAAACATGCAAAAAATATATATCATGTCATAGATTATTTTTCTTTAAATAAATACAATTTTATCAAATAAACCGTATAGAACTTGAGACCTAAATTCTGTTATCAGCATAATTTGAAATATATTCTCTTTTAAAAATTTTTCTGAATGAAAGTAGTTATTATTTTTGCAGCTAATGGTTTCATTTTTTATTTCATTCCATAATTTAGGACCATAGAATTTAGCAAATAATTGAGTCTTTGTAAGTCTTACAAAAGGAATGCGTATAATCAAGGCTGCTTCGGATTGTGACAGTATGGGTTTTTCTTAAAAAAAAAGTTTTCATCCAGTTTTTGAATTGTGTTAGCCTACAATTATTTTTTGATTTCAATTTGGGTAAATATTATAATTCTTATTTTCTGAAATTTAATCTGAATTAACACAAATGTTGATGCTAAACTGACCAATCAGCCATTTTTTTTTTGGTCGCGTGCATGAATTAACGCTGATAAATGCATTCTGGTTACGTTAATTTTCGTTGTCAAAGAAGTACTGTATATTTTACAAACCAGTTGAATAGAAATAATACTCAACTAAAATTTGTACTCAACGAAATGAACCAGTTGAATAAGCCCATTGTAATGTGGATATTATCAGTTTCATATTTTATATACAAATAATGAATGTTTATGAGTACAATGGGATAGAATATTTAATGAGGTGAAAGATTGGATGCCGAGTTGAATAGAACATCTAATCTTTTACCGAATGAAATATTACATCCCATTGTACGAATGAGAAACATTCATTATTTGTTTTATACAACACCCCTGTATCTCTCTCCATTATATGAATAAATAGATCTACATTGTCCTGTAGGCCCTCGGATGTGGCCTAGCCTAGAGGCCTAGAATAGGCTGCTGTATCTAATCATAGCAAAATCTTCATCATATCTTCTTTACTCACAGGGATTTTGTGAGTTACTGCATATTTATTTAATAGCTTTTTTTGTTGATTCGGCATCACTTTCATTCAGTAATTCCTCAAAACCTTCTTCGCGCACAGGTTGTAACTATGCTAATTTTTCTCTCTCGCTTGCATTGCATTTTAGTCTTGTTTGTCGTCTTTTTTTTTTTATTTTATTCTATATTAATCTTCTTGTCGCAGCCAAAGGGCTGAATTACATAAGATTTACATGTTACATTTACGTTAAAAGATTAAAAATAACAGTGCCATTAAGATGGAGATGAAAAAGTACTATTCAACGATCGTTGACTAGTACTCAGATAACCATGGAATAGTCATTTTAAATCAATCTCACTTGACCAGTTTTCAACCAATTAAATTAATAGAATATAATACAGGTGTTGTATAAATTAATTTCATCTCACCTTTGTATAAAATATACAACTTTTTTGTATTGATTTTTATTTTGTCTTCCTTTTCCAATGTTTTCTGGCCATTCTCTTCTACTTTAACTAACTTCATTTCTTCCTCTGCATTTTATTGATTCAATTCTCATATCCCTACCATTTTACTTTTTCACAACATTTTCATTCACTTTCTCTATAAATTCTCTTCATATTGTATTTCTGTTTTTTTTTACACTTTCATGCCAGCATTTTAATCTACAGTTTTTCATGTTTATTATTTCAGTTAATGTTCTTACTATAATACTGTCATTTTGCTGTTGCTGCTGATTAATTTTTCAATTTTGAATATTATTTTTAAAAAAAATACAGCAGAAAAATGGCTTGTAGTAGAAACATTAAATATTTATTTAAAATATTGTTTGATCAAACATATAGGAAGTCAATCATAATTAGTAAGTACACCAAACAAGTGCAGTTTTACAATATTCAGTCTACCAACCAATAAAACATTCTATCTGTCAATCAATTTTTCGGCCTACACATTAAACAATCAGTCAAATACAGTATTCAATAAACCAGTCATCTAAATGCTTAGGCAATCAAATGAATAATTAATCAACCATTTTTATGAGTCAGTTAATTTTTTGATAATCAGTTTATTTGTAATTACATATTTGTATCAGCGATACACATCAGGAAGTTGGATCCAATAAAGTAAAGTTTTGTTGATGTATGCTATTTATATTTTTACCATATAGATTGTATACTGTTTTGTATGTTTTATTGATCTACACTGGACAAGCAATGTCATTCATCTAAAAATTCCACAAGTAGCAACTTTATTAAACCTGTCAGAAGCTGAGGCATTGTGGGCGGCACAGGATTTTCCCCTCCCCTGTTTTGCTACTGCATTTCAAAATTCCATACATACCATACTATGCGGTGGCGGATTCAAGGGGGTGGAGGCAGGTGCCGCAAACTCCCATTTTACCTTTTAAATAAACAACTGTGTGTTGAAATATTTAAAAAAAAAAGACCAAAAACGAAATTAATCCAATCCTAACCATTAAATTGCTTTTTATTGGAACAGATAAGTTATAAAAAACAAGGTATTTTACTTAGAAATGAGCATAAGCCATTTTTAGTTTTATTTAAAAATGTCATGTACGGTTGGTATTATGCATGCAAAGGAAAAATGTTATTTATTTTTCAAGTGTTCACAATAGTAGGTCAGGGTTAACCTAAGATATGGAGCCAATTTTCATGAAATTAGAGAAAAAAAAAATAGCTAAAGGGAAGTTAACGCTTGATATTAAATTATTTGTGATTAGAGTAAACATATTAATATGCACAGTGACTTTTCATCTTCTTCTTAGATTGTGGGCCAACATATCTAGAGGTTTTATCATGGGTATACTTATTTTTACAGTGCAGCCAAAAAGGCACTGTTTATAGTCAGCAAAGAAAGGGACTGTGAGATGAGCCCATCAAAGTACAGTATGTCAGGGTTAAACATGAGCCTGTTGTGTACAATGTTCACAGTAGTTTAGACTTTAATTTAGCAGGTGAGGAGTGTGATTCAACCCTCACCTAAGATAATAAGACTGCATGTAGCGGTTTCACCATCATACCGTTCTACTGCTCGGCTTACTCGAGCGGACGGCACTCAGTTTAGAATACAGTCTCCCTTCCAAGTATAACAGGCCCAACATAAATTTTGGTGTACTGACGAGAACCTTTGTTTGAACCCAGTTGATTGACAGATGACCTGTATGATGACACAAATAATTGATATTTAATTTTATTTTTATCAATTAAAAAAATAATTTAAGCAGTGCAATGAGGATCTAATTACTGCCAAACAACTGTTACATATTTTTCTTTATAGGTTGTTATATAATAATAATAGTAAAAAATGATAGTCATATATATAGTGCATAATGCATGGACTGCCCCTAGGGCTTTACATCAACTTCTTCTTATCGTGTCCACAGAAACTTTTGACATTTGCAGATATGACCGTAAGGGCAGGCCTAGAAAGAACCCACTCTGGTCTAGTCTAGGCATTTGGTGGTGGTAGAATTAACGTGACGAAGACGCTTCTACCATGACCCCAACTAAAGAGGGCTAAACCTAAACAGTATAAAGATAAAAGAAGAAAGGATGTAATTCTAGGAAAGAGTGACTTAAATATCATAATTGACACCCATCTATCAACAGCTTGGATACTGCCCAACCTCTGATTGTGACTCACAGGGAAGAGTCAGTTCACATCTTTCCAATGTCTTTCTCTATTGCATGACGGTTGCATCCAAGACCCCACCCCCTCGCTGTTGCTTTGACTTGAAATACATGATTCAAACTAACAAATTAGTCTGATGAGCCATATTGTGTCCTATCTGTTGCCAAGCTGACTGGTTGTTTTCAATTATGTTGTCTGTCTAGTTAGTTTTCCAGCTACAGTAGTTGAATATGACACTATCCTTAACCTAGTTAGAACTGTTGTTGATTTTTGCTTAAAGTAGAGTGGGTTATGATATTTTTTGTAAGAACACAGATAGTGTCTGTGATTTAGTGCATTTTGAGCGTAGAGCTGATTGATTTTAGGGTAAGAAGGGACTTTTTTTTTTTTAGGGTTTGGGAGGTGGCACACGCCTTGTGACACCATACCTAAGGCTACTACTGTATATGCATACGCTCAAGGTAAGGCACTATTCAAACTGTCAAAATGAGTAAATGGTATGATTTAGATAGTCTGGTAAATTGATTTAATTTTATTTAAAAACATGTTCAAGGTAAAACAGGAAAATACAGAAAAAATTATAATATCAAATATATAAAAGGCATAAGGAGTATCAACAGGAACATTCAAAACATTAGAAAAGGTATAGTAAAATGTAAGTTGAATAACTACAAACATCAAACAAGGATAACATATAAAGTCCAGGAATGACTTACAGTATTTCCATCCTTAACATCCACTCTTATTGTCTAGAGTTTACCAATGTTAACATTGCACCCAATCTCAAAATGCCTATCACCCATCCTTAGTTTTCTTTAACTACAACCCTGTTCTCTGTAGGGAATGTATGCAATATACAAAAAATAGCTTCACTGATCACAACGTGTGAGAGAGAGTGTGAGATGTTTTTCACATGATTTCATTATTTGTCAGATATCTATAAAATCAAACACCACCTGTGCATGATGGATTCGGAAAGTGCCTTATATGGCAATTACAGTACATGTTATAAGATCAGAAACAATTTGATAGCTTTGTGATAAATTTGTGAATACTGTTTGATATTATATTTAATATCTTGTTTCATTTTGGATGAAGTTGTAATCTTCTTAATCCCATCCAAACCATATGTCATACACATGATTGTCAGTCACTTTTCCCGAAGGAAATCCTATTATGGAATAATTCTCCCCGATTCTGTCGTTATATGTTTAAACACTAAAAATACTGTCAAACAGAAATACCAACTGTTTATTTAACATGATGTCAGGGGCATATCTGTGATTTACTAGAATGTTATTTTTTAAGTAGTGAGAAAGGACAGAAGGGTATCCACAGTTTTCAGGATCTTTTACCAATTTCTTAGTTTAAAGCTCAGTTTATTTTGTTCTAGATGAAGTGTGGAAGCATTGTCAATCACATCATTTGAACGTCTGTGAATGATTATGAACGTTTCTATTTGTAAATACTGTACTTTTGTTCTTTGTATGTCACTTAAAATAGAATAAATTGTTATTCTTAAAGCCTTTATTATGGATAACAGAACATTCTGAAATAACCTAGATCATTTAGCAGTAGCATTGCTTAAAATAATTAGTCATTTATAATAATAGTAAGAATAATAATAATAATAATAATAATAATAATAATAATAATATAGTAATAAGATAAGATAAGATAAAATTTTCTTTATTGTCACGTTTACAATGAAGTATACATGAAATTTTTCCTGTTGACACTTGAAATCTTAACTACTAGATAAAAACATACATAAGGCAAAATAGAAAAAATAAATTACGAATAATGAAAATAATAATAATAATAATAATAATAAGCCAATTTATCATCTTAATTGCAATAATAAATAATTTGATAACTAGATTTGTATCAGATTTATCTAGATCACACTTATTCAGCTAGTAATTCAATGGTAGCGGATGTGTGATCGACATTTAATTCCTAAGGGAGATCTGGATAGGCAAGGGATTCACTCAAGGCTGTCAGATCCAGTATTTAATTTATTAATCAAGAATTTGTGAACTGGTTTTCCTTTAAGCCATCTTGTTCATATTGGCAGCTTCTAAAAGAATCTTTTGTAACCAGAAATCTTCTTGAAAATACATGTGTGCAGGAACAGAAAATTTTGAACAAAAATAATAATACAACATCTTCTAAACAAGGGTCCCAGTTCTCCCGCGAGCCACATTAGTTTCTCGGAAATCAGAACGACCTTTCGCACTCCTGTTAAACAAGAATTTAACCAATCTTGCACAGATTTATTATCTGCGTGTTTTTACTACTGCCTTATGAATTTTATCCCTGAATTTCAATCTGAATTATCTGACTCGCACCTTTGGGATCCTTGCCAAACAATTAAGAGAATTGGCTTACCACACCGTATAATCAATCAATCAATTAATCTATCAATCAATCAATCAATAATATTTTATTTCAGAAATTCTAATCCATAGTGGAAAACCCCCACAATCAGCGCTTCTTAAAACTTAACAAGGAGCGTGTTACGACGATCCGCATATAAGACGAACATGATTTCAAAAACATGTAATAATTGTATGTTGTTCGTATAAGACGACCCCTTTTTTTTCTATCGTAATTTGCCATTAAAAGCCTCATTTTATACGTGAGTGTATACGGTAATTTCATTTCAAAATTTGATCAAATCATATTAATTTAATTTTAATATTGAAGAATTTGGCACAGAAACATCTCAATGATTGATAGGTTGTTTGATTATTTAATTGATTAATGGATTGGTTTCTTAGAATGACATTCTTAACAGCAAGGCCCTTATCCAGGAGAAAATTTCTGTAAACTGTTGTATGAGAATGACATTTGATATAAATGTTATCCTTGCTAATGAGTGAGAATGACATGCTAATGAGTGAGAATGACATTTTATATAAATGTCAGTCAACAGAATGACCTTTGCTAATTACAGGAATAAAATACCATTATCTTTCCTGACAACCAAAAACATTCCAATTCCTAAGCCTCTTAATAAGATTTAGTTTTGCTAGGGAATTGCTACAGTTTTCTATTTTCTGTTTTGGGTTATGTGCCTAAAAAACTGATTTAAAAAAATATTTTTTTGTCTGTCTGATGGAACTGACTGTTTGATCAGATATTGTAGTGTATGCTTGTTTTAAACATAATGGGCCTATCAAAAAACAAATCATGTCTTTCATATCTTGGTACAGTATTCAGATGAAATTTCATCACATATTGCACAGCATTGTCTACTTGAGTCTGAAATATAAAAATATAGGAATGTTAATTTACTTCTATTAATGGTTAATGGTTATTAATTTATAGAGCGCAAAATACAAAAAGTCTCTAAGCACTATCAGGCAAGTGTAAAGATGGAACGGAAACCAAAACCACAAAATAAAAAGAAGTGAAATTTGAATACCATGCCAGCCCAAACCGAAGTATGGGGATACGCCCTCATCGTTAGCATTTGTGGGATTTAAACCCAGGATTTCAAGACAAACATTTAAAAAACAAAGATGTCACAATTCTACCCCACAACCAAAATGAATAACGTTAATAATTATTTTTCTATCCTAACATAGGTGGTAGAACAGTGGCCCAAAATACAGGTGGCTAAACAAGGCCAAGATGAAGACACTGATGGAGAGGACCAAGGAGGCATCAATATTGAAAGAGCAAAGAGTTTCCTCCATGAGGAAGATAAACATGACAAGGAGCTGTTCAAGCAACGAGTGCGAGAGAAACACAAGGTCAGAGTGCTTACAAACTTAGTCAAGTTTATTCATGAAAATAATATAAATACAATTTTAATACAGTTCAATATAGATAATGACTGAATGAAGTTTAATGAAGAATAGTAATTTATGAACTATCATTCAGGCTACGTCTTAGGAGTGATGGTTGAAGTTATTACCCACTTTTTAACTAAACAAATGCCTGGAATTTATTTATGCGGCATACTGTATAAAAATTAATATCAACATTTTATCTAAGAAGCTACTTCAGGCATTAATTTAAAGATGGGCACTCACCGAAAAAGATCTCTTTTTTAATAGTGCGTATCCATGGAGTTGACCCTTGCTGATTAATCTTCTCCTCTTTTGATTTCATGGATCCAGAATTGAATCCTTAAATTTAGATGTGAGCTTTTAAGGTCCATTGCAGTGTTAGATGGTTTTAATTACATGATTTTATTATGGGTTATCCTGTAGGCAAGAAGATTAAAAGAGAAAGAAGAAAAGAAAAGATCAAAGAGAAGGAAAGAAGGCAAAGAATCTGGAGACGATGATGATTTTGATGGTGGTGTAATGTTGGCAGTCCAACCAGATGATCATTTTGATGTTGATC